GCAGTACAGCAGCAGACAGGGTGACTCACTGCGTGATTTCTCGACAGCAGGAGTCACGGCTCTCACAAATATACGAGCATAAATCCTTCAGTTGCCGGGTTAGCCACAAGGGCATCACAATAAAATGTTAACAATTGCACTGGCACAAGGACAACAAATCAAAACAAAGAAAAAAAAAACTGGACGGAGACCATATCTAAGTGTGTGAATTCATGTATACTTACAATCCCTCCTACTACAACGATAACCTTGAAGGACAAACACAGACTTAGATGAATAACGTGTCACTGCGTAAAATTTATCTGAAATGATCTGTTTCCCTGAGAGGCAGGACGGGACGGAGAGCCGGAACAAAGCTGCATTTGGGCTGGAGAGGATGTCACCTCTGAACAGAACAACCACACCCGCACTCCCACAGAAGCAAAACAAAACAGAGACACAGCAGAACTGTTTGGATGAAGCACATCTGAGACACAGGCTGCAGAACAGTGAAAGCTACAGTGGTGCTTGAAAGTTTGCAAACTATTTATAATTTTCTCTATTTCTGCATAAATATGACCTAAAACATTGTCAGATTTTCACACAAGTCCTTAAAGTAGATAAAGAGAACCCAGTTAAACAAATGAAACAAAAATATTATACTTGGTTATTTATTTATTGAGGAAAATGATCCAATATTACATATTTGTGATGGTAAAAGTATGTGAACCTTTGCTTTCAGTACCTGGTGTGACCCCCAACTCCCCGTGCAGCAATAACTACAACTAATGCCTCTTTTCCACTAGTGCCACTACAGCACAGTCTGACTCGGCTCAACTCTGTTCAGCGCAGTACAGCTGGTTTTTCATTACACTCCAGTGTAATGGTTCTAGTGGGCGAGTTCAGAGTTCACAAATTGACGACACGCACCTTAACAGGTGGTGGTGGTAATGCTGGTGGTAAAACCCTGAAACAGGTTTCAGTACAGGGTGAGCATTTATTTTGAAGTTTCTGGTAAATTAAAAAGAATGCAGATTATTAAAATGATCAAATTA